CAGAATTTTGTGATTTTGTAATCCCTTGGGAACCAATGAAATCCCAGATGAGTCTAGTTAATAATCTACAATTATTGGTTAAAGAACTATATTAGGGCTGATTTGCTGCCGTCCATCCACTTTTCTATCCACCCCACAAGCATTGGGCACAATGAAGTGGGTAACCTTTATTTCCCTTCTCTTCCTTTTCAGCTCTGCTTATTCCAGGGGTGTGTTTCGTCGAGAAGCACGTAAGAATTTTATTTTTCCATCGTTTAACTTTATTTTCCTGGTGAAAGAAAGTTTCAGTGAATCCCATGTCTTTAAATGATTAAGTTTTCTTTCAGCATTTATTTGTAGCATATGATAATATTTTGTATTGGTGAACAAAATAAAGTACATAGTTATTCTATGAACTTATGAACTTATTTTAAACATCTTAGGTGAAGAAATGGAGAGAATTGTTTGGTGACTGTTCTTTTGCACATAAAGAAACGTGAGGCAGGTGACTTAAATTTTAGTATAGAGTACAAGAGAGAATTAAAATCTATCTCAAAGGCCATCATCATCCTAAGAATCTGTACAGGGATCATAGTACCAATACTTTGAAGCAAGGAAATAAGTTAAAAGGAAAGAAGTATAAAATTAGCATCACAAATGTTTTTCTCAGTATTTAAACACATCTTATGTTTTTTCTCCCCTCCCTCAGACAAGAGTGAGATTGCTCATCGATTTACAGATTTGGGAGAAGGACATTTCAAAGGCCTGTAAGTTAAAGAATCAACATTAATGTTCTTGATAGCATTGGTTACTACTCTGAAGTCGTCATATTCCAGATTCTAGCAGAGTACCGTCCAACAGAATTTTCTCCATTGATGGAAATATTCTATATCAGTCTGTTTGATATGGTAGCCATGGCCCACACGTGGCTATTGAATACTTTAAATATGGCTACTGAGGAGCAAAACTTCTAATTGTTTTTAATTTTAATTAATTAAATTTATAAAATCACATATGGTTAGTTTCTATTATTGGACATTGAAACTATGGAACTTTCATGCAGCAGTGAGAAGGACAGTAGTATATATCTCTGTTGTCAGCCTACTTGCAAGGGGAATCCTTTTACATAGCAAGTAGTCCTGTAGTTTCTTGGGAACATTTTAATAACTTTTTAACCTAGTAAAAATGCTTATCTTTTTTGAAGGGTCAGTATTGTCATACAGCCTCATTAAATGAGATGTTTAGGCTTTGTGGGGGTTTGTGTGTGTGTATGTGTGTGTGTGTGTGTGTGTGTGTGTGTATGTGTTTTAAATAACTGAAAGGACTTATGTAATGTCTCATCTTAACAAATCAATCTACTTATTATATATCTGCCTTTTGCCCTAAACATGTGTATATACTGGTATGCACACATATACACTCAGATATGGTGGAACTACATATCCTCTTTGCTGAGGAAGTTGCATATACTTTGTTAGGCCTTTTCTAATACCTGACATGAAGAGGTTACCTAGAAAATTATAACAGAGATAT